TCCTGATCCAAGCCATGGATGAACACAATATGCATAACGTCTTCCCGGTTCCCGTCGGCGACTCCAACAGTCCGTTCACTTTCTGCGGAACAGTTTCGGTGATGATTAAGACAATAAGTGGACAATTGGTGGAAACAGTGATGACATACCTGTTGACAGCAATGGATAATACTCTTCATGTAATCCAATTGAATGTCATACGCTTGGTGTGGGAACAACACCTCCACGCCATCGATGTTCAGCGGTTGCAGTGATGTAGTCATGTCTTCTGGTGATCACTCAATGGTGTCATAATCATCTGAAATGTCAGACAATTGGTTGTCATTAGAAAAGCAATTCATTCATGAAAGCAATCATTGAATGAATGAATCGTTTGTTTACTCTTTTGAATGCAGTGTTTGTATCCATACAGTCAATACAGTCCACACTCGGTGTCATCACTTCAATCTGATTGTAATTATTTGTTCCGGTTATTAGCCGTCGATGACATGAATACCAGGGACATATTATGTGCATATTTGATTATGAAATTAAATTATCCAATATGACCATGTTATTATCTACTAATGGCTTGACAATATTGCAATACTGTATCATACATGTGACAACTATTGCATAGCCCTAATCTAAATGTATTATGCAATAGATTACAGTCTACTCCATTTATAATTACACTTTATCCAGTACCCCATTAAATATCGGTATTTTGCATATACAGTATAAGATCATTATATAAGATTAGAGTATTATAAGATAAAAAGTTTATTTTATAAATAATTGTGTAGTCAATAAATATTTATTTACCAAAACTATATGGCTTAAAAATAATTAGTACATGTTACAATTAGTACTATTATTAGAATTTCTCTTAAGTGTAAAAATTAATAGAAAAGAATACATAATTCTTAATAATATATAATTATAATACTAATTCATTACATTTTAACAAATTATTATTGAGTAGGAAATCAATTGAATACACATTAAAATTTCGATGTTTTCTCTCACAGTTTAGTCTAATAAATTATTATTATTATTAGAATTACCGGTAATATATCTGTAGTTAATTATGACATACTTATACATACACATTATTTTAGTATAAAAATCTATATGTCATCAATGATAGTCTCAGCAATCGTTACATTCCTGAACATTTTTAATAAATCATTCGAAAATATTGTACAGTATATACACTTTTTAATCATGCTGTATATCTAGAAAACACTTAATAAAATACTTTATACAACTTACAATAGATGTTATAATAAAATATTAATGTGTACTTTTAAGTGTTATAAACAGTTTACTATACTCTACAGTATATCATATTATGTATTATTAATATGTAACAAACTTGTAATTAATACAGACACTAAACACAAATATACAAGTATCATAAATTTGTCATAGAAAGTATTTAGGAGTCTCAAAGTCAAGTGCACGGTTAGTCATCACTTGCGGTACAATTGCGGTCGCTATGCCGGCGCTACCAATAGCATCGCTATCACTGCTACCAATAGTGCCTTATATTTTAAGACGGGTTAGCAGTGAGTGTTATGATATGCGCAGTAATTACCATGATTTCGGTCCTTAATTACTTATCAGTTGACACTTTTCCCTCCAATTTAAAAGACACGTATTACCTGTCTTAGTGAAGGCATTTTCCATCAATTATCCAGTCTCAATTTAGTTTCAAACACATTACCCGCCGTGTAATCAACTCAATGGCTAACCCAGGTATTAACTCTTGTTTGTAATGATACTGTAATCAAAAATATCGTTTAATTTTAAAGTATCTTACCATGCAAATTATATTCATCAGTATATTATATTATCAGTTATCATTGCAATTGTTATAATGTGACACTTAAATGTTATTATTGTAATCAGTAGTTAAGTGCTTAATTATATTATAATAGTATAAATGTCATATTAAGATAAATTCGGTCCTTTTAAGTTACCTTTCTCATATTTAAATCATCAAACCCACATAAATGACAAAGTTGTAAACATTGAACAGCTAATCAAAACAATTCTAAATAATATTAAATAAGAAATATAACATAACCGACAAATAATCATATCTAAATTATGTTTGAGCATTTAAGTAAATATTCAAATAATAATTTCAGATAATATTCATAATCATAATTCATTATAAATGTTTAGTATTAGTGTTAAGTATTATAATCTTAATTGTTAAATATAACTTAAATGATTTATTAAAAATAAAAAATTATGTATTTTTAAATATTAGTGATTCACCAGAAACATACAGTATACAAGTGGTTTCAAAAAGCAACCTGTGCATCGCTAGAGGTTTGTAAATAATTATACTCTATTTTTAACAAGGTATTTAGTATGGATTTTAAAAATAAACTATATCAATTAAGTTTCTTATGTTAATTTATTACTGTTTTTGTGTTTCGAACAGATTTATAAAAAATAAATTGTATAATTTTTATATTGATAGCTTGACTAATGATAACGTAAATACCGTATAACAGATAGATTAATAAAATTTTAACATTTTAAATCTCAAATATGGGCAATTAAAATGTGTATTAGGCATAGTTCACATATTACGTTCGCACTTTTGAGAAATCTTGACCCCCTCCCCTTTGTTCGCAATTGTTCGCATGTACCCATTTTTAAAAATTACGTTCGTATTTCCCTTAGAACCCCCTCCCCACCCTTAAAAAATACCACTAAATTTATATTTAATTTAATTACAATTGAACCAATCATTTAAATCATTAATTATAAATGGAATCGACAATGATTTCAGAAATAGTGCCCTACGTGGTCATGTTAATATTTTTATAAAATTATTTTCACTTTCAAAATATTTCATAAACTGGAAATTATTTCTATTCAAATTTCATTTATTTATTCAAGTTATCAAACAGTTGTTTTCAAAAGATTAACTCTGATAAAAATCAATCCTTTTAATTCGTAGAATCATTTATATTCGAACGTTCTTAAGGTCTCAAACCCCTCCCCCTCTCGTTCGCAAAAGTTCGCATTGGTCGACCCACCTCCCCCAAATGCGAACGTAATATGTGAACACTGTCTTATTAGTTACACTATTATATTTACAAAAGGTGGTTCAAACTAATGTGGAGGGTTAAGTACATATATTAATTTGTAATAACTTCATTATTCATTCTTAATGATACTTTTGTAAAACTAAATATATTTAAAAAATTAATGAATTAAATTACTAGTATTCATTTATAAAAATCTCACCTCATAAATGAAACTTAATATCCTGTATACTTAAGATTTTAATCAGTGCCGCGATCATTAATGTGATACTTGAAATATTAATGGCTCTGAGTGTGAACGCAATGGTTATCCCGCGTTCAAACACCGACTCAGTCCATGATATGGAAAGCACTGCAACCACTTATCTGTTATTATCGACTGATCAGCCAATTGTAACCAATACTTCACTGTCCCACATAATAAAGCCAACTTGTGTCCCAAACCCACAGCCGATACCGGACCTAATTAGCCTGATTGTATTTCTGTTGAGAGTTTTGTTATGGTATAACTGGGGAACAACTATCGTACTAACCGTCAAAAAGGTGTTCAACAGCGTCATCGCGTGTTTGACCAAGCTATTCCGTGGGCGCAATCTAATTGATGCAAATGAACCTTACTCACACGCTACTTCCAGTAAACGCTATATAGCCATGGTCGAATTCAATGGAAATCATATTACAATAAAGTCTATTGAACGACACATATGGCATAGAGCGATCTAATAATTTAAATGTTTAGGACTAATTAGTCTTAAATGTAATATTAGTAAATGTAATACATTATTAGCTTTATTTAATAGTTATTAATAATAACTTATTATTAATAAGTAATAATATTTTCATGAATCCGAGATTAAAACTCTCTAAAATACAAGTTTATTTAAATCTCACTAAACCCATAATATCTCTCTACAAAAATAATTTTTATTTAATCTCTTTAATGTTGGGTTCATAATATCACTCAAATTAACTAAATAACAGCTCATTTTGTTCTTATAATAATAAATATATATATATGCAATACATATGAACTTTAAAATAAAATTTTATTTTAATACTTTTATATTCATTTGTACAACAAATTTAAATAAAATAATTTAATAATTAGTTAATATTTTAATATTAGTTAAACAGATACACAAAAATAACACCATCATAATTATTATTAAATTTTAATAACTTATTGTGATTTTAAAAAATTAGACAAAAATTAACATAATTTGGAAAGTGTTTTGTTTGATTAATAAGATTTTGCACACAATTGTAAGATTGGGACCAACTGTTCAGACAGTGGGACAGGCAGTCAACAGCGAGGTTTACGGGCGCCCTCATTGGCCAGTCGGTCAGCCATTTCATTGCCATCTCGAACCCATTGAACATCCATCCCTTGAGCCTCCCTTTCCAATTCCTGATAATCTTCTTTGTTGATCACATTCTTGTAGTCATTTTTCTTCCAATTCTGCGACCATTCAGTCATGCCTTTCACCACATTATTGCTGTCCGTATAGACGACAACCTTGTGGTGACCCAACTCTTTGGCCACTTGTAGGCCACGTCGGGCCGCCTCCATCTCCGCCCTATTGTTGGTCTGACGTCCGGTCAGGGGTTCGCTTACATTGCGGTCGGGATTGTTGGGCAGATACACGCCATACCCTCCCTATGCGCCCGATTGGCCGTTACGTTCACACGAGCCGTCTGTATAGATGGGATACCTGTCCGACGAACCACTGCTACAGTAGCCACTACGCCCTGATCCGCCACTTCCTCCAGAATAAGCTGATCCAGAGTTAGATCCACTGCCAGTCCCGCCACTCATATAACTCTGGGCCTCTTGAGCTGTATTGAAGCTCTTGAACTGAGAGCCAGAGTAGCCATCGGTCTGACTCTTGCAGTCACTCCTGAGTGAACACATATTGTGGTCAATAAGTAGTGGTAATTATCTTAAACTGATTAGTAGAGGAAATCATACCACGAGTTGTAAACACCCGGCTCTCGACCATCTCTCACGGCATAGTATTTAGGCATTTCTGGTGACACTTGTTGTGATGATATCTTTTGACAGTAATCGGTGGTCAGTATATGCTATGAATGATAGGATTAACTGTAAAAAGTGTGTTGTCTTTGGATTCACTGTTAACTCACAAATGAGACAAAGAAAGCAATGGTTTTGTCGTCAAATGCTTAGCAATAGAGTGAGTGAACCAATGATAGCACTGCATGTATGACATGAACGCTATTTCAACACTTTTTATTCAAAATATTGCATTCAATGAAATTACTTTCATATCACAAATATTCGTAAAAGTATTGAATTTCATACGAAATGACACTTCAGTTAACTGTAAATTTACAGAAATTGAGGGGCCCATAGACCACCCATAGTGGACATACAGTACAATACATATTGCATCTATTAGATTGAAATGCTTTTTATTCACATTTAAATGCAAATTAAAAACACAATTTGATTGCTAAATCGAGTAATACTTTATTTGTGGCAATAGTAAAGATATACAAAAATATTAATACCGTCATTATTTAAGTCTTAAAAGTATTCATAAATACTTTACAATTAAATATTTAAATATCAAAACAAGAAATTAGAGAATTTGCTCAAAAATGAATAAATATATCAATTAAAATGTCAAATTAAGGTAATAATGATTATATGATTAAACAAAAAAATTAAAAATGAATTAAAAGTGAACACAATTATGATTATTAAGATTCAGTCTTAAGTAGCGCACGATTATTGGGATGTAATTTAATGTCCAAACTGTGGGACAGGCAGTCATTTGCGATAATATGAGAGACCCTTATTGAACACCGTTTCATAACCATCCACTCTTCGAAGTGGAACTGCTTTGGTCTGAAAGACATAGCAATTAGTTGTTGAAAGAGAGAGAGAGACCCTCAGCAGTATAACTACCTTTCCTTTGGACGCCTTTTGCAAGGCTTTGAACTCCTGTTTGACGACAACATTCATGCCATCATTGGTCTGGTACTGAGTAGTGGTCACTCTCTTTGGCAACCATTCAATGGCTGTCTTCGGGATGTCTCTCATTGTACTGATGGCTGACTTCGGCGGCGAACCAATGCTCCTAACACTACGACTACCTCCTGGTCCGACACCACTGGTCTCAGCATAACCCGCGCGACAGTGGGCTCTATAGTGAGATCGATGAGTTGATCCATAGGTTACTGGAGGGGCTAATCCATGTCCTAATCCATGAGCCGATGCGCGCGATGTCTCATAATTGGTCTCATAGTATGTCTCATGATATGTGCCATAATTGGATCGACTGCTGGACTCGCCTTTCATATAAGCCAAGGCGTCCTCAACCTTATTGAAGCTCTTGAACTCAGAGCCGATGTAGCCGTCGGTCTGTCTCTTGCACTCACTCCTGAGTGAACACATATTGTGGTCAATAAGTAGTCATATCTTAAGTGAAGTGAAGAATATGAGAGGAAAGGCATACCAAGTGCTGTAAACTCCGGGAACTCTTCCCTCTTTCACCGCATAGAAAGGCATTTGTAGTGATAGTTGTGGTGATGATGTCTTCGGCAGCAATCGGTGGTGAATGTGATATGAATGAAAGGTATGGAAGTGTATGTAATGTTGAGATTCACTGCAAACTCACAACTGATGAATGGCTTCAATGAAAGCTAACGTTTTTGTCACCAAAAGCTTTGCTAATGAAGTAGCGGACCAATGGGGCACTCACTCAGCCATACGTCTACACTATTTCAACATTTTTTAAACAAAAGTTTAAAAAAAATATTGCATCACTATATGAAATCACATTATTAATACCAGAGATGTGCAACCGGATGTAATAAGCAAACATACTGTCTGAACACTATGATGCAAACACTTACATTTGACAAATTACATGACAACATACAATGTAGTCCATCTTATGTCCATTTTATTTCCACAT